AAAGACAAACAATTATCTTTAGTTTGGATGTACCTGTAAGTTTCAAACTCCTCTGACTCCAGGATTACCATCCATTTACGGAAAGAACCTTCTTCAGTTCAGAGTGTCACAAAATTACAGACTTTCAGAATCACAGAATCAGAATTACAGACTCGCAGAGTGGTTGAGGTTGTAAGAAACCTCTGGAAAACATCCAGTCTAACTGCCCCTGCTCAAATAGAGTCACCTACAGCTGGACCATGTCCAGGTGGCTTTTGAATATCTTGAAGGAGGTAGATTAACAACATCTCTGGGCAACATGTTGCAGTACTTGATCACCCTTACAGTATCTTTATGTTCAGAGATAACTATCTGTGTTTCATTTTGTGTCCACTGGCTCTGGTTCTGTCACTGGGTACCACTAGAAACCTTTCATATTTCACTAAAAATATCTATTTTCTGGAGGGAAAACTACTTTACATGAAAAAACAAACAAATATGTAAACCTTACAGTAGTCTAAGATCTTACTGCTGTATCCACACAAAACTGACACAGTGTTGGGACAACCTTAGTTACTGTCATAGTAACCATGGATGAAAAAGGTCAGAAAAGAACGGGAAGAAATCTTAAAAATCTGACCTCTTCTTTTAGAGTTCACACTACTGATTAATTTCTATGTGGAGTACGTAAAAATTCATGAAGAAATCTCCTCTTTAAATCTCAACGCATTTATTTGTGACAAGACTAAACTTTCACTTAGACTATTCTACAAGGAAGCTAACAATTTGCAAATTTTATTGCCTGTACTTTTGCATAACACTTGAATAATCTGTGCATTTAAACTTCCTAATTCAAGGGTCTTTTCATCAACAATCCTATGATTTCCGTGCCAACGAATAAAATCAAAAAGACAAAACAAATAATTTTTAATCTCAGGATTAGGAAATGAAAAACACAAATAACAGTACAATGTTAATGGGACTATCAATGTCAGATTAATATTTCAGGCAACTGATGAAATTCTCAGAAGCAGTATGTTTGTCAATTATACTCATTAGAAGAAATGTTCAAAAATTTGGTTTAATGAGAAAAATTGATAATAGAATATAATAAACTTGAAGTTTTTGTGGTTTTTTTTTCATTTCACTTAACTTTATATTTGAGCCTTCCATAAATGCGTACATAGAATTCAGAGCTAAAACAGTGTTTCTTACTTTATAAATTATTTTTTTTCTTAAATTTACAATTTTTACAATGTAAACCTACTTTTAACCCTGAAGTTATAGCATCTTACAAAGGAATCTATTATAGAGAGCTTAAAGGTTTAGTTGAAGGATGATCCACACAACAAACTCTTCCTTTACTTTCAATGTTGTTGATAAATTCAACAGTGCACCACTACTTACTATTTTAAGATAATACTGTATTTCACCAAATAGAGTGCTAGAAGAGGTTTGAGCTACTATTATTAAAGATGGCATTTACTGCTTAACACATGCTTTAGTTTCATATAGTTCCTTAAACTGTTCTATACAAATGATATGCTAATTCAGTCTTTATTAAATATGCATTCATTAGAAAGAAACATTTTGTGTTTTCTTTCTCAACAGGATGGAGTTTCCCCATTAAGAATGTCTTTATTTTTTCTGTAGAAGTTCTCAAATTAAAATGTATAAGAATCACTGAAAACTCTCACGCTTATTTGCCAGATTAGAACTATAATTTCGGTTATGCTTAATTTTGCTCTTTTCAAGACTCTGTAAGAATGTTACTATCTCTTTCTTCATTTGGAAATTAGAGAAAGGTTTTATGATAGCAGACAGACATTAAAACTTCTGAGAGTTTTTATAGCAATATCTCTGACACAGACATGAATGGTAATACTTCTATTAACACTTCTGCCTGTGTGTGAAGATAAAGAATTTTTCACAGTTTAATGCTGTATAATAATAAACAAAAATCCTTAGAATTTAATACTTTATGATAGTTAATTATATGGTAAGTCCTTGTCATTTTTTTAACCCCAGCTGGCAACTAAGCACCTTGCAGCTGGTTGCTCACTCTTCCCACATTAGGATGGCAGAAGAGCAGAAGTGAGGAAACTCATTGGTTGAGATATAGGCAGTTTAATAGGAAAGCAAAACAAGGAATTCATTCACTACTTCCCATGGGTAGGTAGGTGTTCCGCCATCCCCATTGGAGAGTAGGGCTCCATAGCGGATAACTGTTACTTAGGAAGAAAAACACTATCACTCAGTGAAAGACCTGGGGCAGAAGTGACCTTGATAAAACCTGCTTCTCACTGGGGAAGATCAGCCAAGCATAGGAAAGGTAAGAGTAATTCCAGAGTACAAGGATGGATACCAGGAGATCTTTCAATAAAAGTGATAGTATTTTCAGTGAGACTGTATTATGATGACTACGAAAGTTGAATACTGATATAAAGAGAGTAATGATGCCTGTATAGTGTATTTGTATTCAAATAACAGTTGTTCTATTAAATTGACAGTAATTCTTACCTTTATGTATATGATGTCTTCTTTTTTTGCCTGTAACAGTATTTTGAGTGTGACAGTGAGTCTCAAGTGCAGATTAGTGAATAAATATAACAAACAAAGAAATCAGTTATATCTCTGGGTGTTATATTTGACAGGGGTCCTTACAAAATGAAAAAAAATCAGTTCCCATATTTTAATTTGACATCTCATCACCAGAGTATGTGGGTGTCATCTGATTGATAGACTCCAAGGATGTTTCTGTTATGTTTCAAAGAATGTTTTACACAAGAATGCTTAGTCAGTTTTTACCATCCTCCCCACTACTCCCATCAAAGATGTTGTACTTGTAGGTGCTTTAAACAGTAAGTCCACAAGATAGTTGAGGTTGGAAGGGAACTCCTCACATTAGCTATTCCAATCCCCTGCTCAAGTAGGGTCACCTACAGAATGTTGCCCAGGACTGTGTCCTGTTGTGTATTAATTACCTTCAAGGACTGAGGCTCCACTACCTCGCTGGGCAACCTGTTCTTCTGTTTGACTACTCTCACAAGTAAGAAAATTTTCCTGTATTCTGACAGAATTTTGTATGTTTTAATTTATGCCCATTTCCTCTTGTCCTGTGACAGTGTACTTCTGAGAAGAGTCTGGGTCCCTCATCTTTTTTCCCTCCTATCAGGCATTTATAACCACTGCTAAGATCAACCTGAGGCTTCTCTTCTCCAGGCTGAAGAGAAAGTCTTTACAGATGAAGCCAAAAAGATTCCCAGGTGAACAGTTCAGTAGGAGGTCAGTAAAGAAAGAGAGGTGCTGAACTTGTAATCAGTTTATACTTTGATACATATGAATGAAATATTTCAGCTCTCCAGAGAGATTCTGCTCGCTGTAAATATGAATCTCATTATCTCTTTTACTGATTAGGGTTTGGAGAATTTTTCTTTAAAAAAGACAGCAGATGCACTCTTCCTCTACAGACGCTGTAAGAAAAGATCAAATGCATATTTTTAAACTGCCTTAAATTAAAATATGCAAACATTGGTCTTTTCCAAAATATGTAAATTGTACAATGGTGTATGTTTTTAATTATAGAGCTTTTATGTGTTTAATTTATTAATCCTTGGAATTTGATATTTGAATATTTTAGGTACAGAATTGATCCCTTTCTTTATAAGCAATCTTCAGTAAACTTTTATAAGCAGAGGTTTACTGAAGACAGTTAAGACCCCTCATTAAGAAATGGTCCTCTTTGTGTATAAAGATATACATCCTTATTTAAAAAATCTAAAAGGTTCATAATTAATTATAAAGTCACTACTATTTTCATACAAAGTTCATTTACTGTATTATTTATGAACTCCAAACTGATTGATGACTTATATCAGTCAATTATATACTACTGTTTCATCAAATAATCAAAATCACAGCTTAAAAAAAAATTGATTTTTTTTTGCCCCATATCCTTACAGAAAAGGCTGTTCCAGATTTTAACTGATGGATAGAAAGTTATTCTAAATCTATTAATTTACCGACTTATAGATGGTACTTCTTGTGCCAACCCTCTTCTTTATCCCCAGTCTTACTCTGCATGCGGAAGACCTCTCAGTGTACAGTTTCTTACAGAGCATTTCTCTTACATAAGACATTTTCTTTCAGTCTGCAACAAATTCAATTTAAATATGTCTTTTTTCTTGAGCACCAGATTCAAGAACTGAGCATGATATTTCTTTTTGAAGTCCTATTAGTGGCATTAACGCTTCCCTAAACCTATTGTAATATATCTTCTGATGAATTTCAGTATTGCTTTTGCTATTCATGACAGTAAACATACCACACTCCTGATTCTCTGTCTAAGATCAGCTATATTGCTAGATCTTTATTTTAAAATAATAACCATTTTTATTGCAAAAATCATAATTATTTGATATTAAATGCTGTGAAATCTTACTTTATTTTTTTACATTTTTATCAATTAAAAATACAAGGTTTTCTGAGGATAATAGCCCAGTCTTTTTCTCCTGTGTCAATAGTTCCTGACTTTATTCACTTCTTCTTTTTCATTCTTCTATTCACTGGTGTTTCAAAAATGTTATGAATTCCACATTCTTCACATATATTAACAATTTCTGTGAGCAGACTTAGGTCTTTTAAGCGTAAGAATAAGCTTTCGTTTAGTTTGGTCCTAAGGTTTCTTCAGCCTTATGGGTAGGCTTAGTGTTTGTTTCTTCACCGTCTTACTAGTACCTTCATGGAAGCATAAAATATATAAATCAGAATACATTATTCCTATGTAATTCTGGGTCAAAAAATGATCAACAGAAATATGTTATCTCTCCGAACCTATTACATATATTATTGGCCATATTTTGAGTAAACAAGTGTCCTGAGTAGAGTTTTTTTCACACTTTTCTATGGATTTCATACTGGGATCAGAAAATGCATTATCATCCTGTATTTTCTTCAGTATGTATAGTGAAATTTGGGGGTTATTTCCCAGGTTTTATTCATTCAAATCTTGGATTTTCTAAATTTCAAGATGTGTCACAATGCCAACCTTTTCTTGGAGGCAAGAAGTGGAAGACGAGTCTGAATTTTGTCAAGCATATTTCATGTTATCAAAGTTCTTATATAAGTCTCTTAATTGTAGGTTTCCTGATGTCTTTCAGGAGATGGTCAAGTGATGTCTCATACAAGTTACATGGCTTCTATTTTGTATTACCAAGAAGACAAGTTGTGTTGCAACTGTTTATGAGGTGCTTACTATTACATGTTTTCACAAATACATAAGATAAACCTAACAGCACTTGGAGTGGAAGAGGTAAGTGCTTAGTTGCTCTGGAAGTTCTTTCCATAGTTCTCAGCCGTTCCCGGACCAGTACATAGCAACGTCTGGGATTTGAATCTTCACTTAACAAACAGAAGATAGAAATAATCCATTACCTTGCATGCTTAGCCATGTTAATTTAAAAGGTTTGAAATGACTGAGTAATGGGGGTTTTTTTATTACCTTTTATAAAAAATTCATAGCATTTCCATGATTCAGTGACATCACTGGAACATTACTTCGTTGAATTTTAAAGTTTTAACTATGTTTTAACTTTAGAAGATGCTTAGTACTATGAATAAATTGCTGCACTAAACAGAAAATATGCTGTGCTATGTTTTACTGGGAGCATATAAAACAGATGTTTCACTTGGTTTCTTTTATGTTAACTGGAATTCTGAAGCTTTAATTCTCCATTCAACACCTGGAAGGACTGGAAGAGTTAACAAACCCCATCGATCATGACCTAGACTATGACTGATTCACTTGTGAGTATATCAGTTACTATAATTTATATGTTATTTAATGATGTTGAGATTTCTGGAATTTTAGGGACTATTGGTTACAATGTTTTTTATCACCCTAATGAAGAGTTTTCAAGTACTTTTTTTGTACAACTGGGACACAGATGTTTGTGATGTATTTGAGTATGTGGTTATTCAGTCTTTGTAATTTACATATAATCAGAAGCTAAATGGAATTTGAGAAGAAGATTATTACAGGATTGATTACGTTTTTCATTCTTTATTCTTTATTTGAGGGAAAAATATCTTTGAGAAAGAACTGTCACATTCCATAGACATTGTTTTCAGGATAAACAAAGGCTAAAATTTACTTTTAAATTTCTTTCAAAAATAGTTATCCGTATGTGCAAGTCACATTTGAGCTCTTGATTATGTCAAGAGCACTTTTTAATAACACAAACTTACTTTTCTAATTGCTACTTAGTAGTTTTATGAGAAGTTGTCTAGTAATGAACAATTATAAAGCAAGACAAGGCAAAAGTTTTGGTTTTCTTTTTTTAAATGAACTTGTTTGAAATGTCCAAATCACAGTACTATATATGCTTCAGACTGAAAGGTTGACTGAAGGTCTTTCTTCTGGCATGGACTAGGGTGCCCACTCATGTGTGTGTGGTGAACTGAACACCTGCCAGTCTAAGATTATAAGAAATCACAAACCATCCAAAAATAAGTGCATTTACATCTAAGTAGAGTTAGACATAAGACATACAGGCAGTTCAGTAAACCCAGGGCATCATCAAATTTTGTTTGGTAACCCAGCTGAATATGTGTGGATGTGTTTCTTCCTGAAAACTTTGGTAAGTTGATCATTTTACTCTTTACCTTTAGGATAGTCAGATAAGGATTTTCTCTGCTTCCTAAACTAATTTTTGCATTAAGAGTATTTTAGTTCTCACAGCACCTGGAACCAGGTTCATAGTGTTTGCAGACCTCTCATCCTCCTTTATAAATACACAAAGTATTGGAAAAAATACTCAAAACTCACAAAAGTCTGCTGGATATAACTATTTAATGTTTTATATGCCTAATTTTCATATGAAAACCGCAACTTTTTTTTTCAACTATATTTAAGAATAGGAAAAATTAATCCTTTCTTTACATTACCCAACAAAAGGCTTAGGTAAAAGTCTTTATTACCTCTACCAGAATGCTGAAATTTTGCAGAATTTTGTTATCTAGTCATATATTGGAGTTTTTAAAATAAAAAGGAACAAAAACTAACAAAATGAGATAAAGTATAAGTCTATGTCAATTTTATTTGATACAACAATTAAAACTAACAACCTTGAACCACACCATCTCATTAAACAAACCAGATCATTAAACATACTAGTGCTAGATTAGAATTTTATAAATTATGTTTCTTCTGCATTTGTGAGAGTTAGAAAAATGTAAGGAGAGGGTTTAAGGAAACTCTAGACTCACTTGGGGAATGTCTCCAGGGAGAGTTATCCTAAGGAGAAAGTCTGCTTTGTGCTTCAATGAAGGCTGTACTACATTATGCAAGAACATTTCCCATTCTCTGGGGTCCTGTGTTGAAAATATTCTGGTGAAATTCAAAAAACATGTCCTGGTTTTCCATATTGCCAAGGCAAAAAAATATCATGCACATTCCTGTAGCATCTGTAGCATTAATTATTTGAAGAACATAGTTCATGAATTATCTTGCTTGATAAAATCAGAGAAAACTACTCAAATCAGAAAAGAGCTATGTTAAATTAAAGTCCAATAATTGGCTAAGAATGTATTTCTTGGGAATTTTGTATATATATATATATAAAGATATATATTATACATATATATGTGCACAATAGTTACAGATATATAATATATATATTATATAAATATATTTATATAATTATACATATATACATATATAATGCACCTATCTATATCTGTGTGTGTGTGTGTATATGTAAGTATAATATACACACATATATGTATAATATTTTTTAAAATGACAAAAGAATCCACTTAAGTACCTCATAATACAAGATTTGGGTAATAATTCCTGTATTTTCCATACATGGAAGGGCACTGACTTAATTCTGTGGACTTAGCCCCTGCAGGAGCAGATTCAACTTATCTAATTTTAGCTGCTTTAAAATGCAAGTATCTAGTGTCACATACTTGCTTAGTCTCCCTTTAATAGAGGTGAAGAATCATTTATGTAGTTTATTTCATTCTTTATAGCATACCTACCTTAGAATGGGATGACTTGTCTTCCCTAAAGAAAGCTAAGAACTTAGGTTAGAAAATCTGTAACTCGAAAAAAAACCAACAAAAACAAACAACAAATCCTCACAACCATATTGAAACAAATCTTATCCTTACTTCTCTCTAGTTCACTTTAGTCAGGTTCTGATACATTAGTCAGCAACATATGACCATGGAATTTCTTAAAAGTATAATAAGCAACATGATAAACAATGGCTTTGGGTATAAAACAAAAGTTGTTTTACTTTACAAGTTATAACTTTTAGGGAAGAGATTGTTTCAATTATACGTGGATTCTGCTTTGCATAATAAAGAGAAGTAGTTCCTTCAAGGAAACAATAAATATTGTCTATTTCAAATAGCAAATTCAACAGATTTGTGTACTAAAAGTAATTATTTTTTCTATTTACTAAGTGCAGAGGGCAACTGTCTCCTACTACATATATCTAAAAAAGCACAGGTAGCCAGAGGAATACCACTACCCCAGTATATGTCATTTGTTAATCAGGGTCTATAATTTGATTTTTTTTTTTTTAATATTAAACATATGTCTTTGGTTGGTTTCATAATTCAGTAAGTGACTAGATGGTGAATTAAAATTTGAATGGCTAAAAAGTATGTGTTCAAAGCACAACACAGTCAATATGCTTTAACATAGACACTATGCTTAATAACTTTATTTCCTAACACATATATATAATGTATGTATGTTATTCACCATTTCTAAGGCCAGACCAAAGCTTACTTAATTTTAGACAGAATCACAACTGGCATTTGTTATATAATTACAGAGGCAATTAAACCTTCACTGTTTTAAAATTCCATGTGTTATTAAAGGCAACCTTTCTGAGCTGCTGCTGTTGGTATTATTTTTAAATTGCGATTAACATTAGGTTCTGAAGATGTTGTCTCACAAATATCATTTTTGCTTTTATCCATAGTTTTCAGGCAAAAATTCATTATTGACTGATGACAGTGCTCCAACACTATGAAAATAACTATTAAATAATCCATTTACAATTGAATTAATTTAGCAGTTTTAGATTGCTTATTTAGAATGTTAATATGTGTTGCTACTAAAAATAGCAGATATAAGTACACTATTCACACAAACTAGAAGACTCAGGATACTTACCTTTCAGATTATTCTTCAGATTATCTTTTTTCTATATCCTGAAAGTATTTCACAATATAAGGTTATAACAATATAATGTTATGAAGAACTTGGAAGTGTTTTGAGTATCCAACTGCTTGCAGTAACAGGTGATATTTTATCTTTATGATGAAATATCAAGATTGATATTTGTATGCCAAGTAGTACATTATACTTTTGATAAAGTACAGAAGTCTGCTTGTGGGATGTCTGATTCTTGGAATCAAAGACATGGAAAAAAATCAACAAAATTTCTAAGAACATGCGTAACTGATGTGCAAAAATATTCATTAATCATTAGGATCTCAAATTTGCTGAAGACCCTTGCAATTTTTGCTGTAATGTACCTGCTTTTTACTTATCTTCAATCTTAGCATTTTTGAGAGACACAGTGTCTGCTGTTGACCTCTCAGATTCATCAAGTCCTAGTTCAATATCAGACCAGACCAGATTGCAGAAAAAGTGCTGTAGCTCAATGCACAGTAAGGTTTTGCAAAATATCTGCCCGCTACATTCTCTCTGTAACCCATAATTAATTCTCTATCCTCTACCATTTTTAAATCAAGCCTAAATTCATTGTCAATTATTCACAGAGTAACAAAGACTTTTACTTAAACATTATTTAAATAAGACTGAAGGAAATATTACAAGTTGCACAATGGGAGGAATAGCATCATAAAAACATTATTTATGAAAATAGTTATTAAAAATATAGTAACATCATGGTAAAGTAGGCCAAAATGAACGGTTTTCTTTAGAAAACAGAGATATGTGAGAACAAAAAATGCAAAAATTAGATGGAAAAACTGATGTTTAGAGAATCATAAATAAAATGTTTATGGTTTTCATAGTGGAATCAAAAGTTAGTGTTAATGAAAGGTGACATTTGTGTATGCTATTCTGTAGCTGTAAGGTTTATTGGCACTTGCTTAACTACTATGATGATTTTGTCAGTTTTGCACTTTGAAAAGTTAAGAAGTAGAGAAGGGATTATATAATCCTAAAATATTTGTAGGGGATAAAGATGTAATAAACTTTCTTCCTTTCAGAGAAAAAAAATTCTGAAGAAAATAAAATTCTAACTACTAAACTGCTAACCTTTCTGTGAATTCCAAAGTACTTCTTTTAATGAAATTATTTATACAAGTTGAGCTTGTCTAAGATGTCTCTGCTAGGTATATTGATTTTTGATGTTAAGATGTAAGAAGTCATGGGTCATTATAACCACACCCTGGATTCTCAACTTCAAAGTCACAAAAAATTTTGGGGTTTGGGGTTTTTTTGGTTTGGTTTGGTTTGGGCTTTTTTGTCTCTGGTTGTTTTTTGGTTTGGTTTGGTTTGATTTTTTGTTGTTGTTAATTTGTTTGGTTGGTTTTGTTTTCCTGTTTGGGGGTATATTTTTAAACTGTTAATGTAGAAGGTTGCCCAGATGGATTTTGTTGGGATGGGAAGGTTACCGTTGTGATAAACAGATAAAATATACAAGTTTTTCTGTTTTATTTTGCCTTTAAGGCCCTTGTTGCAACAACGTGAAAGACTCATACTGTCTACAGATAGCTATAAATCAAACATAAATCCTATACCATATCATAAT